TAGCGTTGGGATGTGCTGGCAGGCCGCTGAACCAGGCGCGACGACCCTGGCGCCAGGGCAACTTCGGGACCCTCGCCATGGGGAAGGCGAGCACGGAACCGCCGCCGATCCACTACAAGCCCACAATTGTCTTCCTGCACGGCCTGGCGAGGGGGCCTAAGTCCCTGAGCAAGCTGCAGAGGTGCGTGACGGCCGCCAACGACCACGAAGGCAGTCCAGTACTTTGAGGCCCGTGGGAATCGGGGGCGCGTTTCAACCGGCGGGCCTTCCAGCACTGGAAAGCGTCGGCGGCCGCTAGTGAATCTGGCGGCGCAATTGGGTGGGGTCCGGCGCGGTGGCGGCACTCGCTTCTTTCTTGAAAGGCCCAGACACTGACGTCTAGGCGCAATGGGGAAGTTTGCGGTTGCCCGAAACGCTTCCGCGACGACCTTGGAGCCATTACGAAAAAGCGCTCGGGCTTTCTTCCGCAGAGGGCCAACGACCCCGTTCCGCGCCGGGAACGCGGCTTCACGCGCGTCGGGAAATTAAAGGCGTCCGGAACTCTCCCAAGGCGCCCGACGAAAGGGACGAACAAGCCATTGAAATCCCCTGCCCTTGTGAATGGCTCTCCACTCCTGCGATCGCACATTGGCATTGATCCCCTTGCTTGTCCAAAATTCACTCGTACTGCCCCGTAGGCGCGTGGAGGGCGCCACGGGCTGCCCCACCGTTAACATCGGCTACCCCACGAGGCTCCCCTTGCCGGACGCCGCCGAGGCCGTTGCCCGCGAGCTGCGGGCACGGCTGCCCGGAGGCGGCGACGCCTTCGCGGTGACGCATTCCATGGGCGGCGTGATCCTGCGGCTGGTGGGCGACATGGCGGACGGGGGGGGCGTCACTTGGCGGGGGGCGGTCATGCTGGGGCCGCCCAATCGGGGGAGCTCGCTGGCGCGGGCCCTCGCGGGCGGCCCGCTTGGAGACCTGTTTAGGTTTTTGTTTGGTGAGCCGGGGGCCCTTGTGGCGGGAGCATTCATTTTGGGGGAGGGTTTTATTGAAGGAAGAAGAACGCCTTGTGCAGGGGCGGCCTTCTGCACAGAAAGAAGTTTGGGGAAGGATCTTGTTGCCACGCAATGGTCCACCTTCCCACAAAAACGTGTGCCGGACTGTTATCCGTGATGCAGATAGAGGCTTGCCTGTGCCAAAGTGTGCCGGAGTGTTATCCATGATGCAGATAGAGGCTTTTTCTCTGCCAAAGGTGGCGCAAAATGGAAGAAAATCTTCGTTGGGTGTGGGGTGGCCGCTGTATTGGGTCTTTGTTGTTGTCCATTTCCTGTGCCTTGACAACTGCATGTCAAAGCCCTTGGCTTGTGTGGAATGCATCAATAATGCCCATGCCCAAGTATCCATGCTCACCATGAGCCACATATCTTCCTCAAGGAGAGGCAAGCAAGAAGCAACAGAAAGGGCAGGATAGTTGCTGGGTGTAAGTGTCAGATAGTCAGAAGCATCCCCATCCAGGGGCAGTTCTGTTGTCAACGATTTCCATTCCCGACTCGGATCGTGTCCTGGTTCGATGGAGCATTATGTGTGGGCCAAGCACTAATTGGGGTTCTAAAGGCATCTGCGTGTTAGCTGTGAGATTGTGCAGCAATCACACAGACCTGTGGTTGTTAGAAATGGGATTTTCCCACATCCGGATTGATGCTCAGTGAGGCATCAATCGTAATTTCATGCTTTCCTTGCTCATTGTCCTTGCGAGCTGCCAACAGAAATTAAGGAAAGCTACATCAATCTCCATCACTTGAATGACTTGCAGGGGAGGCTGCTTGTGCCTTGGGGGAAACAAATGTTGAGTGGCCTTTGCCCCGAGGGCCTGTGGGCATCATCGCAGGGACGAAGAACCTTTACCCAAGCCTCTCTTCCCTGGTGTCCAACACTTTTGGCCTCTTGAAAGGTAATCTTCAGAGCCTGTCGATCTTGTGGCAGGTGTGTGTCAGTCAATATGGACAGCTTTGATGCATGCGTTTCTTTAACTCATTCCCTGATGTGGGAATTGCTGTTTTTTGGTTCCGACATTCTTGAGCACCTTTGCAACATCCCTTGCAACATCGGGAAGAATCTCAATGTATTTGCCTGAGATGAAGGAGAGCCAAACTTTAGGTTGCTTAAGACCTTCATAGAGTTGAAAAAATGTTTACAACACAGCGGGCAACAGGTGTCTTATTGTCAACTGGAATCTTCTGAAAAGTTGAGTTGCTTCGTATCCATGCTGCCAGCGACTGCCACTGGCACTGTGGAAGTGTCACAACAACAACCCCTGATTGACGACCAACCTCGCCAATTTGGGTTTGCCGCATTTATTGATGCTCAAGGCACCTCACCCACAGCATGGCAGACTTAGCACGTTGGTCACTCAAGTCAACCTGATTGTTATGTAGCATGGCTCTAAATCTACCTCATTACCAATTGCACGATGCTGAATGGCCTGCCACAGAAACATGAAGCAGGTGTTTTGCAGCCATTGTCAGTGAAATGCGGGTGTAGCAAACGCACCCATAAACGATCACAACTGCTTGAAATGATTTTGGTCCTAGATCCAGCTCAGGCGCAACTTTGCCAAACATCAAGTACAGCAGATTGGCTTGTCGCGAATGCCAAAAGCCCTTCAGCCACGAGCAGGCAGAGCATACAGAACGCGCAGCGGTTAGGGACTCTTGCTGTATGTTGAGGGCCTGCGCAGTGGACGTAATGGTTGTGTATTTCCTGTACTATGCTCGCCGATGTTTATCGGCTGGACACAACACACTCAATGCGATGGAGCTGGGTCCAGTCGCAGACTTCAGATTGTCCGGGAAGCAGCAATTCATGTTGTCCGGAAAATGGAGCACTGCGTCTTGCCCTTGCCCTGTCCAACAGGCCCAGACACATCAGAGTGGCACGTCACGACGCCATTGACAGATGAACGCCTTGCAGGATTGCCAAGGTCCTGACGCAGCAAATGCCCTGGTTGATGCTTTGGATATGTGCGAATGGTGACCTGGTTTCGCCGCCAAACACACTCTCTAACCGTCATTTCTTTGCACGTATGCGAATAGAATCAGAAAGGATTTGTAATGAACCGGTACCTGATGGCTTGTGCTGGATTTTAAGTCTGCTGGGGCCTTGCTGTAGGTCCCAACGACGGCACTGTCTGCGTCAGCGAGACACGCCTGGAAGGGATGGAACATGACTTCTGCACATGCCACGAGGGACACGCCCTGTTGCAGCACAACCAGGAGGTTTTCATGCTCGTCGTGAAGTTCTTAGAGTCTGCTTCATTTACCTAGAGAGCCAACTTGCTGGACACAGCTTGCTTCCTCGGATGGTACGCGTGCTCGCCACTGTTTTCTAGGTAGACGTGACATTGCCGATTTACCCACAAAACGGTGCGGGCAGCCGTGAAGGCGCCTCTTGAATAGGTCCACATTGATGGCATTTGCCAAGAACTAGCAACTCGCCGCCCTATCATGAGATCCCCAGAGAGTGCTGCTGATTCCAAGCCTTTGAGACTCCGTTTCATAGCGATGCGTTTTTGCTACTGCCGCAACGCGGCGACGGCGAGTCTAGCGAACTGCTGATGACCCACTTGGTGTCGTGTGGGATCTCATTTGAGGTTTCGGGTGGCCCAATATCATTGGTGGCAGCTAATGTGTCGTGCCGGTTTCTTCCTGAATGCTCTCGCTTTTCCGCTTTGCTGCGCACATTGGCATGCAGAGGTCCACCAGGTGGACAAGCCAAGGGTAGGGGATGTGGCGAGATTGTGTCACTGTGTGCTCAATTCAAAACGGCGGCATTTATGGCCTTGTCTCCTTGCACGCGTGATGGGCCATTCTGCAGATGCTGCCTGCTGTGTCGGCCGCTGGAGTTCCTATACCTGAGCGAATGGCAGCCCCACCGCTTGAGTTTTTCGCGGTCTCCCCGCTCCCCCAAAATTTTCTTGACTCGTTTCCCACGGGAAAGTCTTCAGGAGTTTCTGGCGGAAGGGGAGGAGTTCCCAACGGGCAACCCGGCTTGGTTCTTCGTGGCATCAAAAGCCGTCCCCAGTCAGTGTCTCGCCAGCGCTGGCGTGAGATCATAGGCGCGCAAGACCAACGAGCGGCCTTAAATCAATTTGAACGCACATCCTACATTGACTGTGTTCCAGGAGAACGTCGATCACGAACCCGTTTGTTCACGTGCCACGGCCGCATCATCTCCAACCCAAAAATTTGATCACGTCCAGCAACCCTGTTACTGGCGCACAATCTTAACTGAAGTAAATTGGAACGGGGTCACTCCCTGCGAAGCAGCCCATTGCCTGCGCCCAGCAAATTTTGTTGATCGCGACGGCCCCTCGTCAAGATGGGCCAGGCACAGATGCTGACTTCAGCTCCGCCACCACCCTTTGCAGTCCCTCTTGGTCCCCCCGCCACACGGCGTCCACCATGGGCGACCCGTAGATTTTGGCCTCGCTTCGAAAGGAGAAGATGGTCCCGAACTTCCACATCGCGTCTGGCTTGTTTTCGAGCAGCTCCAGGAGCCACGGGCGGTCCTAACACAGTACGACGAATTAGAAAGTCCGTGGATTGGAAATCTGAGGGCATTTGCACTCAGAAAGTGTTTGGATCTTATTTATCGCGTGATTAGCAATCGACCAAATGTCGACGCCAAGATCCGTCTGATGCGTTGTGGGCACTTGTGAGTGCTGGAATTGGTAACGGCTAAAGGCATGGAGCCACGGCACTTCGCCACAACTCATAGCGGACATCCGATGTTGCCGGGACAGCGCGTTGATTTTCATGTGATCCAGGGAATGGTGGCCCAAAATGTTTCTGAAAAGTGAGCTGTGTGAGCGCTGAACGAATTGGGAAACAGAAGTTGGGACGGGGATTTTGTGGTCGGCTTGCCTGCTGGCTGCAAAGGGCAGTGTGCTGTCAGGTCTCGGCAGATAATGTGCAACACAATGATTGTAACAATAATTATGACAATTTAGCTGTTATCTTGCAAGGGATCTCGCGGAAATTCCTTGTGAAGAGTTTGACGGCACAGCATATTTGAACAATTTTGCTTTGATTGAGTTTGCAGCATCTGAGCAGTGCCAGAGTTTCTAGTCAGCCATGTCAACATGCACATGACACAAAGCTAGGGGCAGGGGCACACTCACTAGGCAAAAAGGGCCAAATAGCACGTGTTCAAGTGTGTACAAAATTTACGGGTCTGTGTTATTTTCGTGTTTTTATCGTGCAGAACATTGATGAAATGCATACAGATGTGTTCGCAGAACGTGTTGTTTGGTCCTTTTGCTGCTAGTGACCATGTGACACTCCGAAAAGTCGCCCATTTCGTACCTTTTTGTGGTAGTCCTTCCTGCCGCTGTTGTAACAGGACTCGATGTCCGGCAAGCATATCGATCCGCGCCTGTCCGCCGACAGCGACGCCGTCGGGTCGGTGACAGTCTGTTTGAACCAGAAACTCAGCTGCGCCCAGATGAAGTTCATGGGGTACTTTTTCGACACCTCGATCTCCTGCCTATTCAGATCGCTCTGTGGCCTGCAAGTGCAGGAAGGCCGTTGCCAGGGCTTTGCGTTAGTGCGAAGAGACAGCTGGAATCGCAGGAGCAGCTTATTCCGTACTGACATCCCGGCACATGGGTCCATTGCAGTCTTCGAGCGCTCGGCTCGAAATGAGGCAAGCAGTATAATAGAAAGCAGATAAAGATAAAGATAAAGATAAAGATAAAGATAAAGATAAAAGATAAAAATAAAGATAAAAGATAAAGATAAAGATAAAGATAAAGATAAAGATAAAGATAAAGATAAAGATAAAGATAAAGATAAAGATAAAGATAAAGATAAAGGATAGAAAGCAGATCGCACAGCGGGGCCCCTCTCCAAGCAATCGCATGGTACTCTGAAAATTGCAATTTGCACCCGCGAAGCCAGTGGAAGAACCCTGCGAGGACAAGGGCATTAAATCCCGAAAGTGAGGATGTGGCCCGAGGCGTGGTAGCTATGCTTCGTGAGCTACTGTCTTCCGCAGGGCGGCCAGAAAAGTGCCGACCATTTTCCGTACGCCGGCTCGAGGGCCATGTCTGTCCAATTAATGCAGTCGCTTCGAGTAGCCACGCGTATCTTTGCCGAAAGAGCAAATCGTTGCTTGAATAGGTCACCTGCCAGTGGTTGTCTCCTGGCCAGCCATTGGACTATTTTCTGTGGACTCCCTGCTCCCCTCTGCCGCATAAGTCCCGTTGAGAAGCAATGGTGGCCTCTTTTTCACGCCCAGTCCTGAAATGGAGTTCAGGGGAATTCTAAGAGGCCGCGACGTGAAGCCTGCAGGAAAGGAAGCGATTAGCAGATTGGTCAGCGGCAAAGCAACATGGCACTCATGGCGGCATCACCAGGTCGTAAGGAAAGGAAAATGTTCCGCCGGCTTCGCACTCTTGAGGATGACAAAGAAATCGAAAATGCGCTATGAATCCTGTCCTTCAATTTGGCCGTCCCGCTTACCTGTATATGTTTTGTCCATTGCGAAATAGTGATGGGTGTTGGCGTACAGCTGCAAAATGTCTGCACAGGCGGTGTGGAACCCACCTGCAGAGCAGCGACAAATACACACCCTGGTTCTGGGTAGCTGTCGACAAGTAGAAATTCTGTGCTCATCGCCAATAGAAACATTGGGAAAGCGAAATTTGACAGTTGAGCAGTGCAAGGAAGCAAAACGTGGAGCGTGCTGTGCTTGCTTGGTGCGGAAAGAATACTGCACCTGCCAATACCGGCACTCGCCATTTGCTTCACGAATTTTAAAAATGGAGAAACGGTCTTGTTTCCAAGATGTTCTTTTGCAGGTTCAGAAGCTGCAGGAGACCACACAGTGGGTGGGGAGAATGCAAACAAGTCGAAATAGAGTCCCGAAGGCTCACCCGTTCTCATGTCCTCCATTCGCAGGATTTCCACAATATCCAACAGCTTCCGTTTGGCGTCTTTCGCGCACGACGCATCCTCCAAGATCTTCTCGAAGAGCTTGGCAGCCGTGGGATATTCGCACCCGTGCCTCACCCCGAACCTGGCGAGCTCCAAGGCATCCAAGTTGGACTCCTTGAGTTTTCGCGCCCACGCCGCCGGAACGATATCTGGCAGGCAACACCTGACAGCACGCCTCGCGACAGACTTTTCGTTGGCCCACAGATAGTCAGTGGTCTGCTCGTCCGTGAGGAAGCGCAGTGGGTGGGTCTTTGTTTGCCCAGGCTGCCTCAGGCACATCCTGACTTTGTCCAGTGTGATGGCGATGTTCTGCAGTCGATTGTCGCAGACGCCTGCGTCGAAAGTGAGAGCACGTCTCATGTGCGCAGGGAAAGATTGGTGCTCTCAACAGATCATCAGCGTCGCTGGTTTAGGGAAAATGCGACGGTTATTTGAATTTATTTGCAGGAAGCAAATCGTGCAGAGAATATCAATGCAGAGAATCTTCTTGCATGCCCCTTTTTTCAGACTCACCAACGACCCAAGGAATTCTGTATACATTTAAAGTCGCCCGGTAGTCGTTAATTTGCATGTATAATTGTACCGAAATCAGATTTCAGTAAACTTTGGTGAACGGCTAACGTGCAGCGCCGGGGTGCTCGCCATTCCACACGGAACGAAATCAGCTTGCAACATATGCAGAAACTTGTGAGCACACACCACGTTGACTCAAATGCAGTCTTGCATCACCGCGTCAGATCAATTTTTTCCCTTGTGTTCCCTGCTCACCTTCTTGCAAAGACGCCGCTTTGAGTGTATTATCATCAAAAATCTCTTCCAGGAATGCTGGAATAGGTGAATTCTGGAAATCACTTATGCACCGTGGCAATTCTCAATGATCACGCAGCTCATGCTGCTTTTCTCGGGCAAACTAGCGAGATTGCGGTTGAGCTCTGAACAAAATATTCAATGCTTTTTGGATTGAGTTGATACGTGTGTACATATGTGATCGTTCTACGAAGTTCTGCGCCTCGTTATTCCCTAATTGATTGTACTTGTTCAACTGATGCGAAATTTTGTTCTGTGTATCAACCCTAGCAGGATTCCGAAATTCTGGAATCCGCCTGATAATGCTCAATCTGCAATTTCGCGTGCGAGCTGCAGCATCGCACCTAAGTTTGGGCCTCGAATGCCATGGGTTTTGCTAATCGGCAAACATTTCACACTGAAAACACAATGCTCTGGAAGAGTACGCTTATTCGTATGCACAGTGGTTGGCATCACGGAGCAGCTGCATAGGCCACCTGCTTTGTCGGGACGCGGTGTTTCCCATTTCCTCCTGGAGCAATCTCCCGTCAGTCACCTTTTGCCTGGGCAGCAGCGGTCTCCCCATTGTAAACGGCCACGGACGAAGGCAGGGCAAGGAGTTCTTTTGGCAGCAGATTTCTCTCCATTTCCGTGTACTCCAAAATGAGGGCAACCCATTTCTGAAGCCACAGGGGAGCGCGGTCGCTGCCCGTTCCCAGTGCTGCTCCCTTGATGCCAAAGACCTGGAGCACACGGCGCACGCCAAGTGTGACTGTTGCGACTCAATCGAGGACAAAGATCGCTTGGGAGACACACTTGGGTATGGGAGGGACCCAGCATCGCCTTGCAGGTCGTTGCATGTTGTTGCAACACATTCATGATCAAATAAAATTTGGCGATTCCAATCCCGTGTCTTTATTCCGGCTGTGGCATGTTGTGTGGCTTGATGCCTCTTGGCAACTCCCGGCGGTTGTGGATTTGGTCCAGAATTGGCATATTCTGATGAACATGCCGCAATAGCGGGACAATTTGGGTAGGCAGTGAATCTAGTGACAGGCGTTGGTCAACTATTTCGATCTCATGGCCCTGTACGCGTTCCAGGCAGGGACTCGTGGCCATACCTTGAGCCTTCTTCTGTCTTCAGGCTTCAGAGGCTCCATGCCGGCTCGCAAGATGACTGCAGTTCTGTGCAAAAAGGTGTGCTGTTCGCTCATGACTTGCATGAATGCATTGCTGCCGGCGAAGTATAGGAAGGATCCCCGGCAGCAATATGCGCCGCACAAGCATATGGCAGAGTGGTATTCCTTTTCGCTTTCCGTCACTGAAGAGTAATCAAAAGTGAGTTCTTCGCCTTCCTGTGTGCATGAGCTCAAATTCTTCAGGTGTTTGGCAGTCTATAACATGGTGGATTAGTTGTGGATCGATTGAAGCTGGTGTGACAGTTTCACAGGACGATACTCAAATTTGCTAAAGCCGTGAACGTGCAGACTAATCGTTAACGATATAGATGCCACATGCATTCAAATTTTACCAATTCTTGCCTTCACTACACACAGAGGCACTCTGACCCAAAACACTAAAATCAGAGATTTCTAAACAATGTACTACGAGAAGCGCAGGCACAACACAGGCACTTGGAAAAGAGCTGCAGATCTCCTCATCTGCTCCCATCATTGAGGCTCGAACCTCGTCTTATTCACCCATCAATCTAGTTGATTAAACTGTTTTCACCGCACCTTTACGTCCCTCACAGTGTAAACGGCTATTGTTAGCCGATTATTGCAGCACGCCAGAGTTGCTTGACAATTTGGATCGCAGCTGTGACTCATCCGGCTTGCCATGGATCCCTGTTTCGGAAGGCAAACAAATTAGATACGTAGCACTTTTCCAGCACGCAACGCAAAAATTGATTCATTTTGTCGAGGGTGACGTTGTACTCTGAAACATCATTTCTGTAATTAATTCCAATGGGAGTTTCCGGGCTCTTACCTTTGCAGCTGCGTCCACGAAAAGGACATCGTAACCGTCAGGCCCATCCCGTGGCCGCTCCAGCACTATATTGTAGAAATTGTGGAGCCCTTCACCGCTATATTTCTTAGCAATATCCTGAAAAATATTCCAATGATCGTTATTGGCGCAATTGTGTGGTAAAACACAGCTGGGTGGTTTCACATTTTGGTGAAGAAACGAAGGGAGTCTAATTCTGCACCACAGAGCAGACGTTTAGCTGGAGTACAACGGCAATTTGTCGTGAACTTCCTGAGTTCTCGAAATGCGATGTAAAGCAAGAATAGCTGCGCGTCCAGACAAATATGAAAGCAAGATGGACGAGCCGGCCCTGACACTCGAATTGAAATAACGACCTTTTCTTCAATGAAAATCGGTGATTTGCAGATAGGAATCTAGGCAAGAATTATGCGCCATGCGGCAGAACAAAAAAAATTGTCCATTGGGCAAGCATTGGCAATGCTTCTACATTTCCTACACAGTGGAATGACGCCGCAACGTTGTAACCAAATCTTGGTGCTGAAATGTGTATGGGAAGTACGACAGAGCCTCTGTGTTCCATTATGAGCATAAACTACATGAATGACTCCATTTACACCTGGAAATTCACATTGGGGCCATTGACCACCAGGTACTCTTGAATTCACAGCACGGGGCCTACAATTTGACTCGCAGCCATTCCCTACTCTTTCACCTGTATTTCCAGCCACCTCCAAGGCATGTGCAGAGTCCCAAGATACTCTTCAACGAAAGTGAAAGCGCTAACTCCTCCTGGCCGTGTGCAGACGATCCCTTTTCCTTTCGGATGGACCCTGAAATAATTGTAGCCGACCTGAATAGAGCGCATGATGCCCCGGTCAGCATTGGACTCAGGTTAAAAATACTAATCGTGCCATAAACAATAGCGTTTTGTGTGTCCATTGCACTGAAGCGACACGTTGCAGTCAATTTTATGATGACGTTTGTGGCAATCGAGGCATTTGGCAAGATGTGAGCGCCCCACTCGCTTCTCCTTCCCATTCGTGTCAGTACCTCTTCCAGCCTCTGGCGCACGGCGCGAGCTGCAGCTGCGCTCTTCGGATTCGACTCTCGTCTTGCTCTGTCAGAAATAGTGTCAAGAGCCTTCTTCATGTCCCATGCATCACATTCCTAAGGCCATACACACCAGCAATGAGCCAAGCATTCAGCTCCCCCCTGCAAAGCCAGCCAGTTCTGGTCGAATATGATGCCCCGTTCAATATCCCTATGGCGTCGTGCGGCACCAAGATGTACTTATTGAAAACCACATTCACATAGTAGCTTGGACATTCAACACGCAACCAGTTTCCTTCATGTTTTCGGCAAATCCTCTGCAAACTCAACATTGATCTGACAGGCTATTGTATGGTATTGAAATTTTCGCCGTCGATACAGAATTCTCAAGTACACGTTTTTCGCACGTACCTGCATGTTCAGGGACGGAATAAGCTCCAATTCCACCCATTCAGCTATCTTGGCGTCAGCTCCCATTGGCTCCGGGTGCTCCGTGGGTACAAAAGCGCCAACCGCCCAGGCATTTGAGGCGTTTTGTGGCGAGCAGTCTCCTGATCTGCTTGTTCGACTGCTGCCATCGTTTCCGGATACACCCTTGGAGGCGTCCATGCCGGCGGACATTTCGCTTTTCCCAAATGTTCCGGCGTCTAAAATCGCTGCGGAAAACAAAAGGCACGCAGTGAAGCCAAGAGTCCAACTGCAATCCCAACTGTGTGCGTACGAGGCTTGAAAGAGCCAGTGCACAGAGCTCCCATCCTGGACTAACAGTGGCATATTGACTGCAAAACATCTTACATACCGGGAACGACAGCAGCACATGTGAATCTCCCTTTTGTATAACAGGAGGGGCATTTTCTAGCGATGGACATGTAGAAGATCGAAGTACCAAATGCAAATTCATATCCATTGCCACGGTTGACTCTTTACAGCCATTCTCAGCCCTGCTTCTGAGTCCTAGTGAATTGTGGACGGTGCGCGTTGTCGACTGTCCAACAGATGGAGTGACTGGGGCAATGGAATGAGTCAGGCACACAGGAGGGATTAAATTCTGTTTGCAAACCAACTCCAGGCAAAGCAAATGGGTCACCCCTACTGTTGCCCCTGTACTGTGTGTCGATGCACTGTCTTCGCGACTCACCGCCTTACCATCATGAACATTTCTTCTCGTATAGCAGTCTATTCCCCAGGTATCTTTCTTTTGAATATCAGTACCATCCACAAGGACTTGACGTTTTCTGATTGAATCCAGCAGGCGCCCTTCAACCTCGTATCTGGTAACGACACCCCATGCCCATTAAAAATCGTCTGGAGCAATGTCTCCGCTGGAAACGTCATTGCTGGTTTTGTTCCACGGGCGCCAGGGCACATGAATTCACTCCCGCATCAAGACAATTTCCAGCAATCAATTTAAAGTTACTACCGAATATTGTACTCCAGGCAAGAGGCTATGCTTTTGAACCAGCATGTCAAATGCAGTCAATGTGAATTCAGGAAAACGCAAGCAAGTGTATGGAATTCGGTCAACAAATTGTGGACATGTTTTTTTTTCACCCATTCTGCAGTTCGCATTTGCCGCTTCACGGATGAGGTGGCCGACACCATGTCATTCAGTGGAGGGCAAATACGTTTGTTCCAATACAAATTCACGAGCCGGGTGTTTCGGCTGCCTATACATAAATCGCACTGTCAAATTCACTTTGGGTGGCATGCTGCGAGCCATGAACTACCTACATCTTGTCCTTAAGAACAGAGCGATGATTGATGAAAAAGTCCTCCGTAAAGCTGTCCTTTTTCTTTATTGTGAGCTTGGCATCCAGCATATCCTCATCTTCTTTGAATTCAAATTTCGTGAGTCGCTCATATGGCCTACAGAAATAGAGTGGGTCAATGAGAATGTAGAATTCCAAATTGCTGAGATTCAGCCCCAAAGCCCTTCGATTTTGCTAGGGAAGTTCATCCAACAAATATCATTTTTTAGGCAGCTTTTTTAGTCAAGTGAGTTCGTTTCAACGCAAGCTCAATTGCCACAATTACTTACACAAAATATCAACAATACATGCATTGACCAAAACCCGATCCAAACGATGCCTCGATTGTATGTCCTGCATTCTGAAAGAATTGCAGAAAGTTGCATTGGATGGAGCGCCCTGCGCCGCCCATCTTTTTTTATACTGTACTCAGTCGATTTACGTAAGGAATCCAATGGTCATATAACGAGCTGCACAGCCCCGGTTGACAAGAAGTTCAAGGTTCGATGGTAATTGTAATTCATGCCCCATGTCGTGCCCAAAGGAGTGATTTCATGGATGCTACCGCGAAATTCGCAGGGAGGGCGGACTCCTACTTGCTGTCATAAGGCACCGTCCTCCATTCGCCCTGTACATATGGCTCCTTATTGGCCCGGATGCTGGCAGGAAGTTCGGCCACCAGAGGCAGCTGCCCACCCTGCACCATCTCCGTCGGGCTGCCGGGCGCCTCCACGTTGCAGAAGTACTCCGCGCAGATGTCCTCCAGGCAGTCGCTGACATTGGAGAGGAACATGTCAAATGCGCCCCGCACTTTGCTGAAGCGCACTCCGGCTTCCGGGCATGCCTGAAGGCTGTCGCAGTGCGTCCAGACTGCCTGGCCCAGAGCTCCCATGAGGTCCCGCAGGGCATCGTAGCTGCCGGCGTCCAGTGAGGCGCAGATTTCTGTGCAAAAGGCAAACGGAGAGGGCCGTTGAGCAGGGGCGCACTCTGACATGAGGGAGGCCTGACAATTTGGACAGAAGGGAAGTGTGGAATGCAGCGGTCGGCGGCACCTTCCCTGGAAGAATTCTCGGTTTTTTTTTTCGTGATGCGAAAGATTCTGCAACTCTCGCCGAGTGCAGGGGGAACAGCAGAACGCACAGAGCAGCGCGAACAGCAGAAAAGTCATGCACACAAATGCACAGCAGCTATTAGCAGACGCGGAACTCAGAGCATAGAAAGAGGTATCGCGGGAAGGGCGGGAGCTGCCTTCCGGGTGGGTATGAATTGAGCTGCATGAATTTCCTGCAATTTCTGACTGATGTTTTGGCTCTCAAAAAGGACTTGGGACATGCAGCATGCCTCCAGGCGGACACACGGTAGAATCAGCATTGTGCTAAATTCACGCCGAATGGCGGATATATCTGTATATATGTTTCAAGATAGTTTGGGTTTGCGGAATGCGAGACGTGGTACATTTTGCGGTGTTGCATGTCGTCCACTTCAGGGCGCTTTGAAGGGTTGATTTGTGCTATGTTTTCCGCAAACCACAATTCGGCAACCAAGAGATCGAGTTCATTGAAGCATTCCCACGATTTGAACGTGTCAACGCAGGTAAACAATAACCGTTGGCCATATAGTGTGGCTGCAGAATGTGCAGGTCATAGACAGGCTCGGGAGTTGACAATACTGCGTTTCCATCTGCACTGGCGCAGTACAATAGAGCATAATCCATGAATGGAAGAAGCATGATTGCGATGGCTAGGATCGCTGTGACACGGCCTGTGACGGTCCGCCTCCCTGTGCTCTACCTGATAAATCCAGTCCCTTGCTCCTCACAACCTCGGCTGCCTGCATCCTTGCAACATTGTCTGCTGGCACCCGCCACACCTGCGGAATGTGCCGATAATAGACACTTAACTGCTGCGTTGGATCAAACTAATAGGTGATATGGGATGATTATGTCACGCTTAACGTGACAATGACGGGAGACCCAGGGTGTTTCCCCATCTCCTCGGCGTGAATCTTTATATCGATGCCAGATCATGAATCGTAATTAATTCGTAGTTCAAGCTAGGATGGGGATAGAGCTCATGTAGCCTCAGCTTGCGGCCCATTGCCCATGGAACGCTGAAACAAATAGGAGACTATGGCCTACGTCAACTGTTGTCTGTTACAGACAACAATATAAAACAGGACTCAAAGGCGCGTTGCCAATGCTGCGTTGGCACTACAGATGCCAAAATGCAAGCATTTCCCTTGCCACCTGCAGATGTCAGCTGAAAATCAAACGCTCAAGCGATTTTCTTGTGACACATGAGGGGTGATTCTGGCTTGTTATTGGCTAATGCCCATACTGTGCCAAAAGCGTGATCTGTTCACCTTACAGCTCTGGACCCCTACCCACTATGGCGTCAGTTTGACATCGATTGAAGGTGCCATAATGGCCCCAGTGTCACCAGTAAACAAATGAAATGTATTGAACACAACGTTGCTGTCGACATCTTCGGTAAACTGCTGCATCGGCACCAAATCAGTTCTGTGGCCTGTCCAGTAATATTACCAGACATCAGCTGGATGGAGTTGTTGGCGTCTTCACTTTGTTAAGAAATGACGGCGTGCAATATTGGGTGCAACGAAGCACCCACACTATTTGCATTGATGTAGTCAACGTCAATTGCTCAAGTCTGATCCTGAAATTTCAAGGTATGTTGAGCACAGCGTGCACCTTACCTGCTCCAGTTTTGCCTCCTGCTTGTCCGCCATCTGGGCAAACACACAATTGCAGGCGATCAAGGTCCTCTTAGTCACATATACACAGCGAACCTTCAAATGTGCACGTCCAAGCTGTGAACCACAAATAGTTTGTATATGAAATATTTAGGCCTTGTCCTGAGATCCCTTACAGAGGATTCCGCGACAGTGCCGCTTGCTCAGACAACCGCATCGAATTCACACTCCAGTTGCAATACCAGCAGCTCGACGCTTGTTGACGTGCCAACACGCACGACTTCAAGCGAGAATATATTAGCCCCTCTGTCTTTTCCGTGAAGATCCCTATACTTCCGCTCACAAGGCCAACGCCGGTCAGTGGGACAGTGGTTATGCTTTAGGTGCCCGAAACAGGAAGGGCCCGTCACGGAAAAGACAGACGACTAATTGTGTGCCACTTCCAACTACGGCGACAAAACCCGAGAATCGGACGCGGGATACAATCCGGATCCGCGGCGCTCGTGGCAAGATCCGCGCCCTAACCCAAGCTCTCCCAACCGCCTCCCAACCGCACGCTCGCCCTTAAATGTTTGCCCGCAAAGATACACAAATCGATGTGCACGGTATCCGCGGCTGTTACAGCCCGAGCGCAAGGATACAGCCGCGTCAGGGCCGAGTTCCGAAACGCTTGGCTGGCGGCGGCCTTAGTCACCGAATCCCGAAGCCACGCGCCTCCGCGTGGAGACCCACGCGGACCAACGATCCCCTTGCCAATCTGTCCCGCTCGCCCCGTCCGCCACGCCGCCCAGCCGGCCCTGGACCCCCGGGGCCCAGGGCGGGCGGGGGCCGTTTCTGTCCCCGGGCGGGGCCGCACCTGACCGTCATGCCTGTCCCTGCGGAGGATTCGCCTCAGGGCCCTGGCCAACAGGCGCTGCAAGCCCGCGGGCAGCCACATGCCCTCCGCCCCGCCCCGGCGCCTCTGGCGCTTGGCGCCCGTCCCCTTGTCGCCCACCGGCTTTGGGCCCCGCTTGCGCTGCGTACAGGCGTCCGCATCGGACGCCTCCAAGCTGGAGCACCAAAAATCGGCCTCCCACCAGTCCGGCAGCTCCCCCCTCGGCCTCAGCAGATTCTGATTGAATGAGAGCCTGAGGACATCGCCGCCAAAGGCAGCCGCGCCCCAGTGGGGGTCCTGGATTGTCTTCCGCTTCTTGGACGCGGATCGGAGGGGGGGCTCGAGCGGGCAGAGCCGCGCGTTGGCCAGGTCGAGTAGGCGGTCGGCCTCCACGGCCCGGTCGCGGTCCACGGCAAAGGCGTTCCAGAGGACGCCCTCAAAGAACTGGCGCAGCAGCAGGGCCGCCTCGTGAAAATGCATCTTTTCTCGCGCCAGCCGCTCCCTCAGGCTGCGCACCACAGCAAGAAAACAATCCGAATCGATGGAGGCCCGGTCGCCAGCTCGCTGGGGCCCGACCAGCCTTTCAGCAGTAAGCGCGGTGGTAGGCGCGCTCTCGCCCAGCTGGTGACGACTCCCGCCGCGAGGCCAATCAGCTCACACCGCTGTGCGCGGGGTGCCGCCCCAATGCCCATGCCCAAGCAAGCCCGCTCGCCACCGCGCTACCCACCGCAATCCCTCGGATGCTAGTGCAGCACCTCGATTGCTCGACATCAGCCGCCAAATCCGCTCCAGAATTCCACGCACACACCCACTCCAACCACCCACCCCACCCCCACCCCAACACCTCATCCCAACCCACGTCCAGTGCTCCCCCCCCTTCTCAGGCCGGCAGCCAATCCCCGCCCCCCAGGAAAACGGGGCACAAGAAGGAGAGCGCGCGCGCCCGCCCGGCGCCTCACCCGATGCCGGTGCCCGGCGGCCCCGACCGGAGGATTCCCCCCGCGTCCTGGCGGTCGAGCTCATCCAGTATCTCCAGCGCCCTTTGCGTGGTGGCCCCCTGGCCCTCCTCGCCCCGGCCCTCCTCCTCCTGCGCGCCAGCATGCGGATCCGCCCTGCGCACGCGCGCCCTCGGCAGCTGCGTCAGGGTCATCAAATCCAGTCCTCCTGCCGCTGCCGCCTGATCACCCGGATGGGCTCGACTAGACTCGGCTCGACCACAGTCCCTCGGTGGCGCAGGGGAGCAGCAGACGTCTGCAGAGAGTAGAGGCTCGATCCTCGTTGTTTTGTTGTGGGTTGCTCGCGGCCCTCCCCTTTGCGGCTGCGCCCGCGGCAGCCCACCGAATTGCGCGTGTAGAGCTGCTCGTCAGGTGGTGTGGCTGTAGTAATCGCGCTGCCGCCGAAGGCGGGGGCAATCGTGCGTGGCCATGGCTGCTGTGGGGGGCGGTTCAGCACTGGCTGGGCTGCCCAGCCGAATGTTTGGGCATTAAAGGGGGGCCCTTGCTGGGGCTGACGAGCCAGGCCTTGGATGGGGAATTTGCGTCGCTGAAATCCTTCCCTGGGGGCCCTCTGGGCTGAGCGAGCGCCGGCAACGAAAGGTGGACTTCAACCCCCCACCCCCCTGGCCGCTGGGTGGCTGGGAGGGCGATGGCGGGTCGCCACGTTCTGTGCGGTGCCTCCTTCGTGGGCCGGTTGGACTCGAGGCGCCAAAATGGGCCCCCCGTTGGGCTGTTGGCAGTGGTTGGCATGCCGGCCAAAACCAGCCGCTCGCCGCCTCTTCTCTAATGCCCGACTCTGGTGGCGGCAGTCCTCTCCTCCAATCTTCGGCCGGGAGTCAGGGGGCATTTCTTCATGTGTTTGACTCGGAAGGGTGTGCCGCCATGGCTGAGCCTGGGGCCGCTGTTGCCCCCTTGGCGGCATGGTGCCCATGTCGCATGGGGCCGAGAAGAAGGAGGCCCCGGACGGTGCACGGTCTTTCCCACTTGGGGGGTTTTCATTGGATGCCGTCTGACGGTGAACCGGCAAGGCTGGGCTGGCTCTGTGGTCAACAAACCCAGACTTCAGATGTGGATTCAATAGTGCGCAAGGTGTTGGTTGAACTTTCCCCTTGCAACCTTTCAAAATTGTTGGTATCTAAGAACAACATATTGGACCCCTTGCGGCCAGCCTTACAGCTGCCTTTGAAGGCAGGTGCCTCATTCTGTGGCAGCGAGAGGCTCTTTGTGAACAGAGACAAAGCCATGTCTCCCCAGGCCAGTTTAAATTTAGCGGCCCTACCAAGGATGGACCTTCGTGTGTCGCTAGCCATGCGAATATTTTGCCTGCCAGCCTCGTTGGTGAGGAAAGAAAATTGATGTTTGCCCTAGCAAGTGGTTCTGATCCGGTGGGGCAGCCGCGTTGCAGATCATCCATTATTTTGAAGTTCGGTTCACCATTGGCCAGCGGAGAGCATGGCAAATCTATTGAAGTCGGTGGCGAAAACAGACTTGTTTCGAGTGCAGGCCGTGCCGTCCGTTTGCTTGAAAGCTTGACGGTGCCGTTGATTCACAACAAAAGGCCTCCGGAAACATTGTCTCTTTCAACGAAGCCCTTCAGGACTACACGGCAGCCCGCTACTGTAGCATCTGGGGCACAGTATGGGTGGAGCAATTTGTGAGCACATCCTGTCACGGCAGCTAAACAGGCGACGGTTGTAGCAACAGGCCAATTTTGCAGCTGAGTGCAACTCAGAACTGAGGCTCACCTGCAAGAATTTGCGCCTCCGACTCATTTCATTGCCAACAGTCTCTTCCGTGCAGTGCAGTCTTAGGACCGTCAAATTCTCTCCTGTTGTTCCTCACGGTCGTGATCGCAGCATTTGAGGGGCTTGGTCATTTTCCGAACTTGACGTCTGCCAGTAAACAAGCGACCGTTGGAGATGACACAAGAGGTACAACAGACATGGAAAGGTCCCAAAGACGGCCCTGTTTATTCCACTAGCGAATGCTGCGCATTGCCTCTAGTATGCGCTGGAAATTGGAAAAGGACAGTGCATTTCCGACAGAAGCGCATTGACAAAATTATGTCCAGTCCAGACCTCCGGCTCAGTTTCGACTCCTTGCCTTCAACAGAGCGTGAACTCTCTGCAGGCAGCAGAGAGTGTCTGCTGCTTGCGTGTCACGCGAATCACTATTCACGCACTCGTTGAATATCTGATGGTACGTGACATTGTTAGGACAAATACTGTCCCTGACCCGCCACCTCACGCCGCGCGAAACGCGAAAGTGGCCTGAGGCGGAAATGAACAAAATAGTAAGGCACGGCCGTCAATGAGATTCGATGTAACGACAGCCCACATCTGCAATCGTTCAGGTGCCTTTTTGCGATTGGCTTCGCCTTTTTGCTGAATCGTCAGTTGTAAACCACATGCTTCTTAAGGCCGCCCATCATAATGAATCAAAAGTGCACTCCTAGGACAACAGTTTACATCTGCGGGGGCACGCAGTGTCCGAGCCCAATGGAACGACTCATAATATCGTTGGGACATTGAAGCCTGGCAGCACATATACGAATGGCACCGCTACAAGCTCCTTCTCGTGCCTGAGGAGAGTCTTGCATGGTAGTTTGTGCACATGTACAGGCAGCATTGCACACATAGGCGGCCGTGGTACCTGCGTATAGGCTTTGAAGCTACAAGCAATTGTTCGTCCTGCTGAGATTACTGCATACACGAGCACGCACTGACTGCATTGCGCTGCTTGAAGTATCACATCAGATAGATCACTGTGGGACCCGTGCGATATGGAACAACAGGACAAAATATGTACACGACTGTGCTGGTGCTACCACAAGCCACTGTAGCCGCCAGTTGTAGAAACACGACAATGCTGCACCCGCGGCAACAGACTGGATATAACCAACAGGACAAAATGGTTCGCTTTCGCCCAGCGCAATATGAAATTATGATCGTGCTTCGGCATTGGCATGCAGCATGTGAGAAGCACAGACACCCGAGGTGCAACATTCCATCCACGGCACAAAAATGAGCGACGTGTACGTTGTGCGGGCATTACGAAAGCAACAGCTGTTGCTAAGCCGTCATGCCACGTCGCGTTACGGGGTTGGGGCGGCGTTTGTTCGTGCCAAATCCATGGACGCCAGGGCTGGTGCGCACAACCTCATTGCAACGCCAAGGCTCATGGCGGAGCGTGTTCTGCACGCCCGGAAACTCTCGTGTTCGCTCTATTCTCATGCAGCATTGCGGGTATGTCACTCCGTCCACAAACATACGACAACGCCTGTTATTTTCGGACATCAACACAGCTGCAAGACTTCGTGTTTGTAATCAACCGCCACTCTCAGGTCAATGTGTTCAATTTCGCTATGATCTCTTGTCAGCGTGCGAGTCTATAGTACACTGTATCTACACGTGGCATGCTGACGACTACCCAGACGAGCCCAGTCACGCGACAAGCTAATTTCGTTTCTGTGCGATCCAGAGCCTGGCCATCCTTGTATGCCGCGAGTCCATAATCAGCATTATTCGTGCACACTGCTTGGCCAGTCCGGCTCCACACCAACACCAACTTCCAACCCCGCAACACCCTGTTTCCTTCTGTCTTCTTCCTGCGCAAGAGTGGCATCCCATGTTTGGATCAAGGCAAGACAGATGCACATTTCCGACGCATGAACAATTGCAAACAATGCGGGCGATGAGCTTCATCAAGGCACAATGGCAATGCCGAGGCCACAGCTTCCGGACTTGGTCCACTGTGTGAACACGACTGTTGTGCAAATTATATATTTGCAGAAAGATGACGAAGCGCTACCCATCCACTTCAACTCAAGGTGATAGGGACACGCCTGGGGCATTGGGCAGAACACTGTGACTCAGATCAGTGTGTCGCCTTCACGCTGTATGCAGCGCCGCTTAATCACTGTAATCCACATTCCAAGCGTAGCGTGGTCAACACATGGAGAATGCCAAGTGTTTCACCTAATTGCCAACTGCAAGGTCATGTTTCGACATGGGAGCCGTCAAAACCTGCCACGCCATTTACTCTGTTTCTGGACAAGATCCATCTGTGCATGGCGGCCCTGTTTAGAGCGCCTTGCTAAAGTAAACGATCAACGCACATGGGCACACCCGCCTGCCTTCAGGTGAGCAACATTGACTGGATTCAGGAAAATAAGGTACAGTTTCGCAGACTTAGTTGGAAATCTATCAGCATGGGATGGAGAAAAGACACTTTCTAGCGTTGATGCTCCATGCAAAGCTCCTCGACAAGAAAACCACAGTCACCTGTGTGTCTGTAGCCGACAACATCAAACATTCTCTCAAGTACGGATCTGTAAGCAGAAAGCCACCAGATCTCGACTTCACAAATGCAGGAGAGGACTCCTGGGCTTTGTACTCAGCATAAAGCTCTTCAAAAGCTTCTGCGTGAAACTTCACAGTCTCTGCTGTGGCCTTGCGCATCCCCAGGTTGTCGTTGCACTTCAGGAACCCAAAACCGAGATTCTGCAGATCGTCTCGCTTTCGGCTGGGGGCATCTCCTGGATCTGATCGCACAGAAAAGTGCAGCAAGACTCAGATTCTCAAAAGTCAACAAGAAGCAAAACGTGTTCATCCAAAACTATTTGAGGCATATACTCTTGTGCGATGCACCACCCTGCGGGCAATGCACTGCTTAACATCCAGGATTAAATAATCCTGAGCAGATTTTCGCTCATACCCTTGGCTACCATATCAAGCGTGTAATTGCAACCAAACATGCGCTTGCATTTGATCCAGAGCTGGCAGCAACTAGCCCATATCAGGTACAAGTCACCGTCGTGCCAGACGCCTGTGTACTTGCTTCCCAAACACAATAGGCCCTGTCCCCTTGATGAAATAGCAGAGTCCAATTGTCAATGCAATCAGGCACCTGTCATATCAGGTGCACATATCACCTTTCGAAATGCACTGCAGATACTTCTCATGAGTCTCCTTTGTGGTGAGTGCCGGCAACACCCGCACTCGCTCCAGCTGCTGGCGGACCCTGACTGGTGTGACTTCACTGGAACGAGCATACTGCTCTCCTTCTGGACAAGGCGCAGGGGTCCTGAAGTTCCAGCCGGGTGGCCAGCCACCCACCTAAGCCACCCCAGAGCAAAATACGTATATTTCAGAGTCATTAGCTCAAGAGCAAGAACCTGAAGCATTACAGCTAAAGCAGTCGAAATAGCATCGCGAAATCTGTGGCTATTCTGTTCATGTTTGGGTGCTCACCACATTGACTTTTGAGGCATTGCCTTCTGTGTTATACTCCTGTCCAGGTCATAGGAATTCCGTGTTGATTTCTGATTCGAATACAGTCGCCCCATAAACAGGAAATACATGTACACCGACAAACCGATGGCAGGCAAACTTGACTTCCACATTGTCCCCAGAATGCACATGAGTGACTCCAATAGCCCATCGTCACTAATTGCTGACAGCAACAAGGTTAGTACCGTGCATCTACACACTGACTAGCTTGGGATTATGTTCCTGCAAATCACGCATGGCTCAGGATTATGGCCATGAGAACAAGCGACAGTAAAATTGTGGTGAAGATATGACTGCCGCCTCCCTATCTATTCACTGCAAGTTGCATGAAAACACACAAGCCTCCCTAGCCCAAGCAACAGCCTCCTGCATGCACATCCAACATCCAGGGCAAACAAGCAGCTTGCTGCATCTCCGCACACCTTTCTGGGTGGTGGCTGTGGTGGCGGTGGCTGATCAGGTAGCCAGTCCCCCTCCTCGTGGTGCCGGCCATCGGGAGGAGGCCTGTCACCCAGATCCCCCCTGTCTCCCCAGCTGTCCCTGCCCTGGGAACTCCTGGGGGCGTCCCAGTCATGTACAGGGCTGGCACGGGCCAGGGGCAGCTGCGGTGCCATCCGAGGCCCAGGCCTGGGGCCCCCCGGGGGCGCATCCTCCCCCCTCATTCTGTACCCCTCGCCCCCATCAAACCCCATGGGGAACTTCCTGGGATCTGGAAACTTGCCCTGCGGCTCAAACCTGGGCGGTCCCATGTCTTGGTGCCATTCCCTGGCCATCGGTGGCCCTGGCGGGTAGCCCCTGTGCCCCACTCTCCAGCCCTGTCCACGTCCCTCATCGCCCCAGGGCCTTTTCACACCCCTCCCTGGGCCCACATGCGGGTCGCCCCAAGGGACACCATGGCCCCAACCTCCTCGCCCTGTGCACCAGATTCGAACCCAGGCACCCGCTCTCAGTGCAGGGTGCTGAGCAGCCTTTCATCATCTTGTAGTTTCCTGGTCTATGCCGAATTTCAAGGGTAGGCCAAACACAACCAGAAGGGAGGGGAGCAGGCATACCCAGAGTCGTCAAGTAATGCTGCTGTGGAGGGGCTGACTGCCACTCCACTAGTCAGCTGCCTGGATCGCCACTCCTTGGGCATCGGCCCCAAGGCCACAATGTGCAGGAGAGACAGGAGACATCACTGCTGCTGCATTGAATGCATTTAATGGATTGAATGCATGGAATGCATTGAATGCATTGAATGCATTTAATGCATTGAATGCATTGAATGCACTGAATGCATATGCGTTGATGGCTCTGATTTGCCCAAGGAGGAGAATGGCTACCACTCTGCACAAACTAGGTTTTCCATCAACCAAATGTATTCCCTACCAGTCCTACCTGGTCCCATTGGTGGTCCAGGCATCATGCCCCTTGGAGGGCCCAGGAAGTCTGGATGTCTTGGATCGTCACGGGGTGGCGGTCCATCATTGCCCATCCTGTACCCACGGTCCATGGGCTCTTGACGGGGCCTGCCTTCTCCGGGCCTGGACACAAGGACAAAAAATCAGACTTGCTAATTTGCTTTTGAAGAAGTGGGGGTATCTCAGAATCCCGCTGCATGGGCAGTATGTGGCATCCATGACATCACTGCCATATTTTGTGAGGTCATTTGAGCAACACCTTGATGTGCACATGTACACAGAAGCCATCATCGCTCAAATGATTATAGGAGTACAGTGCATGACTTTTGCACCAGAGTTAGGCGTGACAGCATAGGAAGGAAGACAATCTGTGCATAGAATGTTGTACTTACAAATATGGGAATCATTTGCTGCAGTGGGCACTCCACAGGGTTTGAACTCTTTTCCATGGTGCATAAATAATGCAGGACATGCCACAGGGATAGCATGCTGTGTATAGAATGGCTTAGGCTATAAGGGAACATGAACTCTTTGTGTGCACTGTGCTTGGAATAGAAGGGCATGGGTTCAGAGGGCAACATGTACAGCACAAACCAACAATAGTCCCTTACCATGGTCTTGGAGATGGTGGCCTACGATCATGCATTCCAGGCATATCTTGCATAGGTGGCTGGTCTGAACCCAAAAGAGCATGTGTTAATGGATCCAATTCCAAACGTTTGGCCAAGGTCTAGCGGCAACACAGGACTTTGATTGCATTAATACCGGCCACTACAACCTATGTTCTTCTTCTTGCCCATCATCCAACGGACAAATTCTCCAACACTGTTGTGCAATGCTGCAACAACTTTCACAAAGTTCCAGGGATGTTTCTCCTGCCGCTCTCCATCTCTCAACGCAGACAAGGGGAAATGGAGCTGCCCAGCGTGGGGTTCATTTAGCAGCGTCTATGGAAGTCATTCCTGAGAATGCATTTGCCAACACACACGAGCCATAATCATGCAAGAGCAAAGCGAGAATAGCAGCCACGAGGAGGGCACAAAAGTGGACCAGGTGCCGGTAATGTTGCGACGCTTCCTTGCATATTGTGCTCCAGGCAGACAGAACCAATCCGAAAAGTTTATTGTTGGTGTAGCAGTGCGTTGGCAGGCAGCGAGCCTGCCGCGGCGTGTCACTGACTTACCCACACCCAAACTCGATCACCCGCATCCAAACGAACAGCGCCATTGCCAACGCTCATCTTCAATTGCCAACAACTGACTGCTTCCTTCCGGCAGCAGCACACGTCCAAAAGCAATCTTGACAGACCCTCGAAGTATGGCTCACGCACAGACAATGGACGTCACTGAAAAGAACAGAGAAAGGGGCATTTGCGCAGCCAAGTCATCGGCCCAGTGCCGCAGTTAATGTTACCTCTGTCTGGAGGCGGCGGTTGACCCTCCATGCGGCGCTCCCTTCCGGGCGAGTGACCCGGCTCATGCCCCCTTCGGTTCCCATCTCGGTAGGGCTCTTTGTCTTGGCTCATCGTGACAGAATGCGCAGAGGAAGGTCAGAACACGGTCAGTCACTCGCCCTCCATCACAGCGCAATTTCTCCACTCCCCTCCTGGGGGGGAAGTGAGCGGAGGCATCATGTTCGTTCGGTGCGTTGGCCATCGTTTGCATGTCGGGCGCCCACCAGTGATCACAGACAGTCGTAGTCACTGACTCACGCGCTCATGCTGACTCGACCTTCCTCGTATATCATGCGACGCAGGCATGACATTGGTCGCACTGTCATTTCCGTGAAGATCCCTTTATATTTCGGCACCCTAAGGGAAGACACTTTGTCGATTTTGGTACGCTTAGCATCAAGTAGACGTTAAGGGGGGAGAGGGGGGCCGGGGGAAACAGACCTGTGACGTTAAGAGATTATGTACTTGCCACAAAATCGACATAAAGAGGGAAGGTGCCCCAAAACGCCACTGATAAGTGGCAAAGAACCCATGGCATGTTCCTAAGGCTCCTGCAAGTGTTTGATCTACAAACAAGTCGTTAGAATGTATCAATTGGCAGCCATTGGGGCTGCCCGCCTCACCTATATTGGCATTTAGAATCCAATTTTTCAACCCACTGAAATCAGCACAACTTTGATTGTTTTTCGCCTTAAAAACACCTGGAAATTGAATACCTCTGTTAGGTAATGTTGCTGAGTTATCCTGGCTTCGACATAAGGATTGATGCTAAAGGAAGGGGGAAGAGATTTGTTACAAAAGAGAAGCAGGTCATACAAAGGCCAACCCTTCTTAGGCAAGTGTATGTGGGGGTGAGGGTCTGGGCTTAATGTCAAATTGACGCTAAGATAACAAAATCGACAGAGCGGCTTCCCTAAACCCTAAACCACTGACCCACTTTGGCCTTGGCAGCGGAAGAAGAAGGGATCTTCAAGACAGAGGGACTACCATATTCTCTGCGATGCAGGTCCACTGCGGTACTGCTTAATGAATCTCCAATGCGCCTGCAGTTGTGTTTGAATAATTGAATTTGGGGGACAAGTGCAGTGGCATTACAGGTCTGTTTTCGCCACAGCTGGACGGGCAGCGCGAGATGTCCTATGGAAATGCAGTGAGCACCGGGGGGCCAGCGGGCATGTGCAGCGTGTCCTTTGGACAAGGTTTCAAAGGCAACGACTCGCATGCCAGTGTGGGATATGACGTGCAGCTGCACTGCGTGCTCCTGACTTGGGCAGTGCCGCTCATCGCCCCACTCACAGACGAGGAAGTGCTGCAAGTTTCCGAGCTGGAGCCGTGCAGCAACCCCAGCAAGCCCTGGACTGACTGTCATGTGCTGTTGACAAGCTGTATTCCATGGAATCCTAAACATTCCAGCGGTGCAGATGGAGTAACAGTGCTCTGACCTTCCGGATATATCCTTCACATTGTAAATGCGTTGACTCTTGTCCTTACAGGACTGCTTATCCTGCGCTCCTGAATTGTGCATTTGGTACACAAGGTGCAAATAGAGGAAAGCAGCTATGTATTGTAGCTATACATTACATCCATAGTTTATCATTTCCCTCAGCTTCATTCAGGTGCCCAGCCAGTCTGCAATTACCATAGAAACAGTGCTGCAGCCAGCAGCAATTCGTTCTTCTAATAGCCTTTCCAGATTGTCACAGATAGAGTCTGCGACTGTTGGGTGTTTTCAATTGGGTCTGGGAAGCAGAATTGCCAATAGACGTTTGTTTGGATCAAATCATATCCTGCAGTGTGTCGCCACAGAATGTGGCAATAGTCAGTCTGTCTGCAATGGTGATATGACTCCTGCTGCAAGAGAGCCCTGCTCGTGTTGAACGCAAGGGTTGCGTCCATTATAGCTGCATTCTCACAGCAAGAAAGAGTGTGATGTCAAGCAGTGTTGAACCCGTAGATGGAGTGGCACTTGGCAGCAGCAGATCACTGCATGGAATGGAACAACACTTGAACGTTGACTGCACAAAACAAAGCCCCAAGTACTGGTCGAATGTTGAATGTATTGCAAGACATGTTGCTGTGTTTGCAACCAAGATACAAGCTGACAGAGCTTGCAGTCTAGGCCTGAAATTCTGTGCCTGATACCTGATCTTCAGAGGAAACCTCTTGAAAAGATCAACAGTTATCCACCTGTCCATTATGTACACCTGCATGTTGCACGTGGTGCAAAGCAACACAAAAAATGCTGACAACAACACTGCACTAGACCACAATGCCACCAGGGATTCATTGACCCTGATCAACATACACAACATCCATCGAAGCTATCACTCCCAGTAGGTGGAACACAAGTCAGAAGAAACGTGTGCGATGACTATCCCCGCCAAGTAGCATAAATTGTCAACCAAGCATTCCATGAAAATGCTTCACTACATCAAACGCCAGACAGGTACCTGCCAATCAAAAGCACAAATAACCTATTCCTAGTGCTCATCCATTACACTGGTCGTTGTTGCAAGTTGTTTGGGGAAGCAACGATCTGCGAGTTTTGTGTGGAACTATTATATTCGGCACAACAGGGAGCCGATGCCCTGCAAATCCACTCTGAGCCAGCATCACACTGTCGGTTGAGAACAACCAGAGGTTTAAGGTCCAGACTGCAGCACTCACATTGACAAGACAGCTTGCTGGCTGCTGAGTATGTGTCCCAGCAGCAAGTCCAGATCAACCCATCACATGCCAACACAACGTTGACCATCCCTTCCTCCACTCATAGATCGTCCAAACGTGGCTTTGCGATCGGCTTTGTCATTCTCTTCAGCCTGCCCCTAGTCTTCGCACTGTTCGGAGTCTGCCTTCTATTTGATTCTGACAGTGGGGTGGTCTTATAGCCTGGCGGTGCATCGGTCCGAACAGCGGCGATGGCATTTGCCAAATGCTTGCGGCTGAGCAACATCCACTCCCTGTGGACAGTTGTTGTCACTTTTAGTTCTTGTAGTTCTTGAGCACAAGAGTGTTGCATTTGCCAAAGCCAAGCCCTGCCCCAAGCTAGGCAATGTGTGCTGCATGCTTCACATGTACATCAACACAGGGTGGAAAGTAGAGTGGCAGAGAGCAAGCCAATCGATTGGATTGCCTTTAGTTGGCAAGATAAAAAGCACCCTTGAATAATCACAGCAAGTACAGGTATAATACCATGTCCTTGACCCTTCCAGAATGTGTACTCCATTTCCCAGAGCATCGCACGGGCTGCGAGCAAGACAAGGAGAATTTGCAATGGTGGACTAAAGCACTGTGACATTGGCTGCACAATGACTACCACATGCATTGCAATGAAAATCCAGATCAACAGGCTGCCAGCGAAGGAGGTTGACAAAGTAAGCCCCCAAGGCATGGGCCACATATGCGGTGATACTGTAACAAACGTGTGTCAACTGTGTTTGGACAGCTATAGATCGTTTCCAGATGTCTGCATGTATCTTCGTATATCCCTTCAGTTTTTGAAACACAATGCCCTTGTCTCTGGGCCCATGCTCCGATTTCTCTGTGAAGAGGCTCTGCTCTTGAAAGTGTATCACCAATATCGATTACCAAGTTGCCCAAAGAATATTCAAGTTGTTTCTTTTCATCCGCTGCTGCATGGGAGCATTGTTTTGCTTCTGTGAATAGCATCGTTGCTTCCACAGATAGCAGCAGCAGCAGCACTGATCTCTGAAAATGGAGTAAATAGATGACGGATCAACATACTGAACTATGGATAAAAGCACTAACAAAAGGCAATTTGTCACAGAACATAAGATCTCATGGAATGCACTGCGCACTTGACAGCAGACAACTCCCCCACTCCACCGGAGACTGCCTTTCGGACCTCCTCCAAGGATTGATGCTCGATGATTGGATGTGAGCAGCCAACGTCTTGTAAATCCTTAACCTCAGCATCGAATCTTGAGCACAGGCCTTCACACAATTTCATCATCGATTGTCATTGAAAACACTGATGATTGCATCCAGCAAAAAAGTGGGGGAAAACCGCGACACCCATGGTCACAGAGCTGTGTACTACCTTCATCATATTGCAGTGTTGGGCCAGCTGCAGTGATCAGGTGACAGGAAGGTCAAAAGACTTGGGCCTGCAACAGTAGTTGGATGTGGGAATACTCCACATGCCGTGCGCCAAATTGGAATAAACAGAATCTAAGTAGAGCCAGTAGAATATAGCATCCACCATCGCAAAAAGTGAAATTTCAAAGATCACTGTTGCCCAGCTTCAGTGTTCAAAGACATGCTCAAAGCACAACAACTGCACCAGTGCTTTGCTGTAAATTTCAGCGCATTATTTGAACTTCAATGCATTGTTGCTCAGTACAAAGGGAGCTACAGAATTCACAGCTTCCATGAAGGGGTTGGTGCATAAATTCCGAAGCGAAGCTGCTGCTTTATCTGCAGTGGTTTCCCTTCCCAGAACTGAAGTCCAAAATATTCTGCTCCATAAACATAATCAATCCTCCACTGTGCCATACTAGTTTTTGTACACGGACCTCAGCTGTGCTTGGCACTAGCGCAGTAATGGAATGCGCATCCAATGTGCACTGTCTACTTTCAAAGCACTTGTGCCTGTCGAGCAAACAGCACTCACCTGTGCTGCCAACGCCTGTTCTCCCACATTTGGCGTAAAGGCTCTCTTCAAACCCTCCCACAGCGGTCAATGGCACAGTAGCCCTGAGTTCATTCACTTGCCCAACCTGCCAAGTACAGAGAACACCTGCCAACCACTCAGGCCTACCCTCAAGTTGATGTGATCATGTAATGGGCAGCACAATTGTCAAACCACGATTGAACCAATTCAACAATGCAGTCGCCAACAAAACAGACCCTCGTAGGACACCCCCCCTCCTTGAACAGGGCCGCAGGTGCAACGTCTGAGTACCTGTTTCCACCCGTCAACCATGAGCGTGAGAGGGAATGTCGCGAACCAGAGCAATTTACAGTGTTCTAGCAATTTACAGTGTTCTTTGAGCACAATGATCCAAAGGCCGGCCAGGATAATTGCAGAAGCAGAAGGTTCCAGGCAGGGCGCACCACGGCGAGCAATTCATTTTGCAGTCCCTCATCGTCGTCCACATCCATGTCGGCGCCGTCCTCCGCATCTTCCAAGGGCCTGCACGACGCAGAAGCCGCTGAGCCCGACTCAAAGCCACCAGTTTCAGAAGGCGTGGCGCCGCCTCGCGCGGGGGCAATGTACCTGGCGTCCTGGACCTTGATGGAGCCCGGCCAGATTTCCATGAAGGCCGCCTGCAGCGCACCGCACACCGGCGTCAGGCACCTGCCACGTTGAGCGACGTCAGGCCCAGCGATCCGGGACGAGTCCGCTCCAACTTACACACTCAGCGCGGACTCCGCCGTCCTCTGTGCCCGCCAGCCAATCCTGCGACGAGAAATTTGCGTCACATTTCACTGAGGCTGCCGCCCTACGAGGAGTCGTCAGTCGACAGGGGCGGGGAGGGGCTCACCTGCACGGCACCCCACAGGGCCTCCCAACTCTCTTGCCCGCACAACTCCACGACGGTCATGGTTCGCTGGGCAGAGGCTGCCCTGCGCGGTTCCCTTGCCCAGGGGTGTGGGCCATCTGGGTCGGTTTTGGTTTTGGCGGGGGTCCAGCTATTGATGTCTGAGTTGGCTGAAAGCAAATGAGGGAAAGACGCAGAGCAGGGAGCGGAGATGAGCAAAGAATGACGTGCTGAGCGCGGACTCACATTTTGCCGGGGGTTGACACAAGCCGCGAAGGCAGCGACAGGCCGAGCAGAGGAGCGCGCTGGATGCTGTTGCCGGCCGGCTTACCCCAGAGTTAACCCGCGGCCGCGACTGGGCAGGCTCGAGCTAATGGCAGGCACGGGTGTAGCTACGGATCTCGAGGGAAAGGTGCGCGGAGCGCCCGCAGCGGGTCGTTGTCGTTCTTTGGTTCGCCTGATTTGCACATCGCGCTTGCGGCGTGCTTTGCCGTCGCTTGGACAGTCCCACACGACCCAGAGCTTGATCCTGCAGTCCATTCCGCGTTCAGTGCATTGATGCTGTGCAAGGATCTCCATTGAGGGGCCCCTTGATTGGAAAGGAGCGATCGGATGGCCCCATGGACGCGGTGTCCGGGATCAGAACCAGGCGACGATCAGCGAGCTGCGGCAGAGTTTCAGTGGATTTGGAGTTGGCATTCGTTGAAAGAGATCTGGAGAGATGGTTGCGTGTTTGCGTAGGTCGATGGCTTCATAGCACGCCTGGGAGGGGATGAAATTCGGCGTGCCTCAGCGTCACTCCAGGCAGGTCCTGTCTATCAGGCTCTGGAGCAGGTAACCTAGAGCGCCCCAACCTGGGGTGCATTACGTCCCTCACGTGCTGCACCTCGCAAGAAGATCTTGTTTCTGAAACTGTGGCTTGGATTTAGACCGCTCCTGCGAGCTCGAGCGAGTGCTGAGCTTCCTGCTGCGGCTCACTTTTGATGAAACGCCAATGCGTTGGGTCAAATTGAAGCGGAGTACCTCGAAATGAAGGGGAAAGGGAGCTGCGTTGCTGTTGGGATCGTTCTGAGGCTGTGTCGTGTGCGTGCCGTGTGGTTCTCCCAGGCGGCCAGCACTGCGACGCCCTACGGGTTGTCTCCGGACAGCCCGGTCTTTCTGTCCCTCCAGGCCGAGACGGACCCGCACGTCAGGGAGCTGCTGATGTCCGCCAGGCGCCACGCCATGATCCTGCAGACGTCCCCAGGCGATTTCGACGCGGTGTACAATCATGGACTCGTGCTGCAGGAGCTGGCAGCCAGGGTGCGGATGGGAATCGAGGGTGGGGAGCGTGAGGGGGACATCAAGCAAGTGTGGCAGCTGTTGCGGGAGGTGAGAGTGGGGTCATGGTGATCAGGAGGAAGTTCCTTTTACAAGTGCTTGATGGCAAAATGCACAGGTCAGCCCCTGCTCCTGTGGGCAAATTATGTGCTTTGCTACAGTCTGCAGAAGTGTTGCTTCCTTGGAGTTTAGAGCTGCCTCTCGCTACCTAACAGTACAATGATTGGCTGTCAGCACATCAACAGGACTGCTGGAGGAAAAGCAATCACATACCAACGGGTCGTTGACAGCCATTGTACAGATGGTGGGCTCTGTGTGGGGCGCGTTGAGATCGCTCACGAACGAGCCAGCCCCCTCCTGAGCAAGAGTGTTCCATTCTCATCAGTCTTTAGGGGGCCACCTCTGAGCAAGTTGGGCATGGCATACAGCCTGGGATTGATAGAAGGGTAGGACAGGTGTACCCTGTGTTTGTGCCGGGGACCATTGTTCAGACCTTTCGATACAGTTGTTAGAATGGGGCGAACTACCACCGTTGCACTGTCAATGTGAATACAGACATCAACGGCTGTGCCTGGAATCCATGGCCCAGAGGGTTTCATGGGTTGTTGAATAAGTGGTTACAACAGAATTTGTCATCGCGAATAGCATATTGGGATTTGTGGGCATTGTACTCAGCATTTCTATGTGTACCTTGTGCATAGCTTTGGTGACAGGAATGAGACAAGATGCGTCAGTATGCATGCAAGGCCATTCATTTCCCATAGTGGCAAGTCTAATGCCAAAGCTATCAGGTGTGCACCAACGTCCACCACCTCCACTCCCGGCATCTGATGATGAATAAGAAAAGCATTCCCCTGGGCTCATTTTATTGTGGCAAATGTGCAAAGCACATTGTAGAAGGCAATTTTGCGAATGCATACAGCCAATGTTGCAATGCCTGGTATATTGGACCAGTTCTTCTTGTTTTCTTTCCAAGTTTGAAATAAACAGGAGTTGACCAGTGCTGACCACATGCTGTGCACAGGCTTGTGACCGATATTCACGTGCTCTGGAGATTCGTCCCAGCTTCCATGCTGCGCAGTACAACTGGGGCGTGGCTTTGAGTGAGCTGGCAGGTCTGATGAAACGCGCTGATGGCCATCAAGCCCTGTACCATTTGCATGACGCAGCTTTGAGGTATTCGCAGTCCCTGCAGGGCAACCCTAACAACCCCCAGGCACTCAACAATTGGGGTTTAGTACTTCAGGTGAGGGGGTCTTGTTTCAGCACAATAAGGTGTGAGAGGGATGTGTGTCTGTGGTACATGTGTGCACGGATGACTGGGGTGTTGGAGGGTGCATACAAGATATTGAAAAGAAGTGTTGAAGGAAGTCATGCCATGTCGGAAGAAAATTCTATGCCACTAGAGCATCTACTGGAAAGAAATTTGGATGCAGATGTCTATTGATAATGTTATTCAAAACTGGCGAAACATAGCCCTGGCCTGCAAGCAAGCTGATGCACATGGCTGAGCACAGAATATCGTGGTCACGATTTTATATGCCATAGTCCAAATTAAATCTATTTGCGAAACAAGTTCATTTCTTGCCCTTGTGCTGAAGTACTCGTATCACTGCAGGCAGGAAAAAATGCCTGCACAATAGAGCAAAATAAGAGTGAACACCATTCAAATGCAGAATACAAACAGTACTCTATTTATCAGTGCAACACCTGGTAGCAAGATTTTGACATGGATTGTGCCTGGAAGTGCAACAAGAACCCATTTACCAAATTCAGATCTGCAGGCATAGGAATGAAATTATGGAGCATAATTTTACAGAGTTTGTTAAGCTAAGTGAGGGTTGCCAAGTTGAAATATTGCACCAGGTCTTGGATGCTTCAATTCAGCTGGTTCACTTTGTTTGCCACTCTTGCTTCCACCAAAAGTTTAGATTGCTCATGAGCGTGCCTGGCATCAAGCACTGCAATTTCCTTGTTGAATGTGTTCAACAACTTTTGCCTAACCATCAGTGTGTAACCAGGAGGTCTCCTCATTCCACACCGACCTGGAGGTGAAGCTGATGCTGGCAGCGCAGGCCATCGACAAGTTCCGCCGGTCTCTGCGGCTGCAGCCAGACTTTGACCATGGATGTTACAACCTGGGTACAGTCTTCTACACACATGCCAGCACCCTCCGCACCCAGCTGCGGCGCACAGAGGATACCATCATCTCTCAGGTAGCACTTACCATTAGATCCTGACTTCATTATTGATCTCGAATGCTATGCATCAGTTGATTGTTCGCAGCTGTCGATCTGCAAATTGTCAGTCTTAACTCAGTGGGCAACAGACCCTTCACAAGCTTCTAACTGATGGAGTCCAACTGTGATCATTGAAGGACAGGTCCTGTTCTTGAGGAGAATTTGGGTGGGGTTATCTGCTGTTTGATGTTTGCGATTGTTCCAAGGATGATAGGCAGACACAGTCTTGGAATTGCTGTGTCTACAAGGACAGTTGTTAACAGCTTGGTCAGTATTGAATGGCTGTAAAGGACACTGTGTTTGCAGGCGGCATTGGACTGGCTGGCAGCATTGAGTGCGCTGAACGGGTCGGAGCTGGGAAGTCATGAAGCAGTGGATGCCATGATGCAGAAGGCCGCACAGTACATTGTGCTGGCCTGGGCCCTGCAACCAGGCAAGGAAGTGTACAGCCAATCTGTGAAGGTTGTGCAGAATATGCTCCCCAGGCCCTTCCTTAGGGTGGGATATCTCAAGGCCCCCAAGTACGTTGTTCAGTTCCATTGATTATGCTGTGAAGGATACTTGACATAACAACATCCTAATATTGTGCATGCGATGGTGGAAACAGCAATGCTTTGGCTGATTTATTTGCCCCCTGTGCATTTACAAGTCCACTCACCAACTGTAAATCCACATGCTGGTCATTTGCACCAAGGGCAACCTGCGGGCAAAACACAAGTGCAGCACCCATACCTTAGGAATGTATCTTGTTTGTGGGTTTTAGCAGTCAACCTCCAACATGCGCCCCCTCAAGGGCTTGCATTGTACTCAATGCAGCGGTGTGCAGCAGTGGCTGTTTTGGAGCACCTGTTTTGGACATGGCTGATTTGTCACTAGGTGACCCACCAGACGATGACATTCACTGTTGTAGGGGTAATTTCTGCTTCATTGGCTTGATGTTAATTTGCTCAAGAATTAAGAACTCTCAGGGCTCCAGGATCTTGGCTGGGTTATTCCAACCTCACTGCAAGAAGTACGTTCAACCTGCAGGCTGCAGATAGAAGAATGCGAGATTCTGTCTTTTGTGAATTCTGTACCTGCTTTGCCTGCCACCCCTCATTTTGAGGCACTGACCAGAGCAGACAAAAGCGCTGCCCTCAAACCTGGAGTTGCCTCCTGCGGACTGCAGTTGCATGAACTCCAATTGGCGCTTTGTCTGGTGGTAGCCAGCTAGGTGAAATGTGCGTATTGCAGAGAATCCATAATATGGACGTATCGATGCATGTCTGAAATGATCAATGAGACAATCACCGTGTGCCATGGAGTGCTGTTTGCAAACAACTGAAGTCTGGATGCAACTGGGGTAAAAGTTCCTAGCTGTCTGTGAGTTGATGTGACAGGCCCAGGCACCAGTATCTGGTGGGGTGGGATGGGGCTTGGAGGTGGGTGTTAAACACAACTAACAACCTGTGTTGCCCGTCAGGTTGAGCACACTGGGGGGACCAACAGAGAGTTGGGAACGGCAATTTTTTGCTTTGGACCAGGGGACGCTCCGCTCAGGTAGTGCCCTGCAGCTGACGATGCGATCAAGGGGTCGTGCTGCTTCCCCTCCCATAGCCGAGGTGCCAACATCTGAAGATGACTATGTTGTGGACTTGGCCGATGTCATATCTGCCGTGCGCTGCTTGGAGCTGAGCCTGCCTGAAGGAGAGGCGTTCTGGATCGGGCTGAAAAGCAGGCCACAGGCAAGGATTGCTCATAGTCTGCTTGCTGTTGGATTGTTATGTTGCTGTTGTTGCTGCCATTTAGTGTTCCATGGACCCGTGGCAAGACCAGGGTACCTTGCTATGACCCCAATAAGAATCTTGGCCATTGTGCGCCTCAGTTAAGGATGGAAGATTTTCTCTGCTTTAATCAATGATTGCATTGCAGCCTCCCTTGGCCTCAACGTCCTGTTCTTGGAAGGTGAGGAGACCCTTCCCTGCAGTAAAGCATCAAGTTTGAATTCATTGTCCCACCATATTGTAATCGACATGTGAGATAGCACTGGCCTTGTACTTGATAAGTACACTGACAACATCCGGTGGTGTTGTGATGTGACTCCATGATGCACCCCATGCTGTTGTCACCCCCTGATATCCATCGTATCCTTATGCGCTTGCTTCTGCGGCCCCACAGTAATCTATAGTGATGAAATAACATGGGACGCCCCCCACTGTTCGAGGCAGCTGTCTGCCTGATGATCAGTTGCTCTGGAAATTTTTCTTGTAATTGATGGAATTGTGCACCCATATATTCACTTCTCCTTCACCACTGAAGGCGTAATCTATGAGGGCACGTCTGAATGTGATTGGCGCCATGTGCCAGAAATACGCTTGTGTCCCCTCACGGTTTCTATAGTTTCTTGGTTGTGCTGTTCTCATTGCAGGGCATGTACTTTGTTGCTGAAGACAAGGAAACAGCCGAGGAGTGGGTGGATGTGCTGACACTCATGCAAAACATCCATTCGCAGCAAAAGGCGAAGTCTTTAGCCACAGTGCTATCACCGGGCAAGGCACACAGGAGCACCGAGTGAAGCGTTGGCAGGACCCCAAGGACAACGGGATTGACCCCAATGGAACGCACGTGGACTGACCTCAAGAATTTGTTGTCTTCCCAGAAGAATGCAATTGCTGGTGCCGGTTGGGAATTCGAGGGCTGTGTGACCACACCATTTGTCACTGGAATTCCACAGCCGACGGAGGGAATAAGAACATTTGGTGTATAAATTTATGGAATGTAAGTGGCGCTTCGATTGACTGAGACGGCTCCAAAGCAAATTCTGGAACTTACCACCAATATGCTCCTCCCCAGCCCAATTCCTGAAGGCTTCAGGCTGACATTTCCAGACGATATCGCTGAAGCTCATGGAACATCTCGACGATCTGCAAGATGCACAAGCAACAACTTTAAAGCGTCCTTGCACCCTTTCTTAAAGGGCAATCAAAGAAATTCATTTGACTAATTGAATGAATCAAATGAGCCACAATTGCCAAAGGCCGTTGGGGTCGTTTGATTTTGTGTCCTGGCAAGCATGTTTGGCAAGTAGGATGCATGCAGGATAGAGCGCAGCTATGCGGCATTTCCTGAGATACCGACCTCTGGCCGTCTCCTCACTCTGCTGCATCCGGCCCTTTGATTGCCGCTCATAGCCCCCTTGGCTGGTGGAGGGGGAGGGGCAAGAGGCGAACACCCTATAGCACAAAGCGTGCATGAAATTTAAGTGCAAATAAAGTCGTCATTTGCATGGTCCAGCAAGAGGGCAGCACAAGTGACATTAGTGATTCTTGAGGACAAAAAGCTTGGATAAATATTGGAGACAGATTGGGCGACGCCCTGTCACTAGCGGCTACAAGGCCAGCTACAGAAATCTTTCATCGATCTTGAAATGCTTCAAGATCATGGTCCAAGAAAATGTGTGATGGCTGTCGTTGTGGCGGCTTTGGTTCACTTTGAAGGTAATGGATTGCGTACTCTCATGCATCTGTTTCAAGTCTTGTGTTTTTCTTGTCACACAGTTAACTTCTACTTGTTCCACCTATGAATGAATGACTCATGTTGCCAACCCATGTGGCAAAACACACCTTTGTTTGGAAGCTTCCTCTTCATGTCTTCATACTGCATTGCACAAACCACAACAAACACAATCCGTTTCACAAGCACAGTGCAGTTTGGTTGGCACCCCACACATCACCCAAAGATGCATTGCAACTCACCATGGCCCAAATTGGTGTGGTGGGGGCTGCACAATTGCTCGCAGGCCCCTCCCCTTGATGTGCTTGGGCCATCATCTATAAAAACAACACATGTTGTGTCGGTCGCGTGCAACGACATTATTGTTGGCAGTTGTTGCTCTGCCACTGATTGGGGCATAGATGTTTTTGAAATTGCATGGCAAGCATGGGATGAGGGCAATGGGACAGCTGTCCATATGCACAAGGAAGAACTACCATCAAACTCAATGAGCTCGAAGGCAGTTTGGTGATGCCATCACTGTTGATTTTGTGATCAAGGTCGCTTTTCACCTTGGTTAACAAGGGGATCACTCTGGGTCCCCTCAAAGCTGCGCCATGGGTGCCTGCTCCCTCCCACATGGACTGACGCACTATCTGTACTTTGGAGCGCACACAGTGAATGATGTGCTGTTATGTTGAATAGTAACATGGTCGCCATCAATTGAGAAGCTATTATTGGCAAGGCCTATAAAAGCAACTAAATTCATTCACGGCCACCTTAAAAGTAAAACCTTGCAGCAGTTTGAAAAGAGATTGAAAAGAGATTTCACGTTGCTTCCATCCTAAATGGTGTGTGCACGCATCAAATGGAAGTAAACTCTTGGCAACTTCAAAATGTGCAATACTTACTTTCCACGTGACTTGTGCATGTTGCGGCCCCGTCGGCAGCCGCTGGTTTCCGGAGGCGTTGGGGTCGCCCTGCCCTGCAGCTCGGCTGTTGGAGGTCAGCCGGCCCTCTCCACCTTGGACGGTGGGCGTATCCGGGGCAGTCGCTCCTGTGGTCGCGCGGTGGGCCCAATGCTCGACGGGGATCAATCCCCGGGGCCTGCTGTCGGCGAGAGGTGGCGGCGCAGCGGTGTGGTGGTTCGCTGGCTCGCGGGAGGCCAGAGAGTGGGCCAAAGATGTTACAACGATTCACTGCATGCGCGCGCACATATCGCATGCGCGATGCCCGATCGCGGGTCCATCGCGGTCACATCATGACAAGACAAAACAAGTGCGCGTCCAGGCACATTGTCACCGTCCACCATTCACCTAAATCAGCTCCACATAATCCCCGATGCTTCCATCTACCGGTCCGAATCCCATGCTAAAGTATTGCAACTTCAACTGGCCATAACTTCGCCGTTTCTACACGGAATTGGACGTTTCAAGTCGCTATTGGCATCAGGAGCTCCTGAATAAGCTGATTTTGCCGTATTTGCACTTTTTTGACCAACCGCCGCTTCAGAAATATCAATTTTAGCCTAACCCCAAGCAGCCACGTCACAATACTCCCCCCTTGGGGTAGCTTTCGCCCCCGAAAGCACACTATCCCATACTAGTGTCTTCCTCGGGCTTATCCCTCTTGATCATTTTCTGAAGTTCACGTGCATAGGTGAAATTTCCAGCAGGTATCCAGGAGGCATCATCAATACTCCACCCTGTCCATAACACTAAAAACTCCTTATGCCTCCTGCCACTGGGTCCTGCCCATCTCCATCGCAGCAGCTTCTCAACTTC